TACCTATATATCCAGACATGTAACTGGATAATGAAACGTTGGATTTTTTCACATGATCTCATAGTTCTAGTTCTTCAAATTTCTGATAAATTTGAGGTTAGGATGCTTCAAATCTAGTATATTTTAGAGTAACTAAGCACTTCATTCCACACACACACACACACACACACACACACAACCGCGTCAAAAAAACGCACTGCTGTGAAACATTTTTCTCAGTGTTCCGACTAATGAACTAATAAATAGGACAAAATGTTAAACAAATTTAAATTTTCGAACATTTTCTAAACCAAAAGTGAAAAATGAGCAGCATACCATCCGTCCTCAGAGGAATCATATCCGCCGCTGGAATGTCCAACCAATTCCTCATAAGACAATGCGAAGTCCAAACCACCGAAATTCCCGAAAATCTCCGAATAGTTGAAATCAGGACTCCGTATATCAAAATGAAACCCTGCCTCCACATCAATTAGAGGAAGATCCAACACCGGAATAGAAGAAGATCGAGCCGAGTGGAAGCCACCGAAAATCTCAGCATAATCCTCAAACCGAGGCGCCAGTGTGGGGAGTCCGAACTTCGGTGGGCCCCCAAAGACGTCGTCGTACACTGACTTGTTAGAAATGTCGCTAGTGCCAGCATAATTTCTCTTGGGAAGTGAATGAGAAATGTTTTCCATTGATTTTCCCTCCCTCGAGGAATTGAGGTGAGAAACTGAAAGCTCAGTATGAGAAGGAAGTAATGGCGGAATGAAAGGGAAATATTTCACTTGAGGTCACTTGATTTATAAAACATATCTTATTGGTCATTTAAATTCCAGTTTATTTCAATTCGATCACCAATTTTATATTGTTTGAATTTTAACAATTTTCGTCATTACTTGCACCAAAAATTGACAAAATAACACTATTTATTGAACTAATAATATTATTTATCATTAATTGTGTGAATTGAGATCTATGTGACATTTTTTTCTAATTTACATGGTGTTGACACTTAATAAATATATGGCCGAGTTTAAATTCCATCTCCGACAGATTCCATTTAAATCTTAAAATTTATCTTCAATGTTTACATAATAGGACATTAACTAGATAAGAAACAAGAAAGAGCGCTTAAATTTTGCATGCTAGCTCTGTTTAACATAATCTCAACATCTAAATGAATATCTTTAAAATGTTTATTTTTTTGTTGTCACGTCAACTAGACAGTTCAACTTAGGGCCCCTTTTTTTACCCAAAAAAGTTAATTTTTAGACCGTTATTTTACCATTTCGACCGTCATTTTTGACTTCTTCCCTCACAGGTGGTCCTCATTTTTTTGCCTAACGGTCAAAAAATCAATTCTCAAAATCCCTATCGAACAAACCCTAGGTTGCATTAGAGAGGAATCTCCATAGAAAATTTGTATTTTTCTCATGTGATCCATATTAAAATGGGAGATGCTCTTAGAGGGGTATCAAGAATGACATAAAATGGGCTTTTGTAACCAAATTGAAACAAACATGGAAGTAGAATGACTTCCAATGAAATTTAAATGGAATAGAAGTGAAGTGGGCACCTGAAATGACATAAACGGACTTCTTAAAGTCATCGAGAGGAAGACTGGGACGGTTTCTTTCTGCGGATATTGTTAGCTGAAATGACATTTATGCCCATGTAAAATTCGGGGAGCGTGATGTACACTCTCCTGTAAGAGCGCAAAATTGTCTGGCAGTTGGGGACCATCATTTTTAGAATAATGACTTTTTATCTTATGTCCCACCAAATATACACTAAAAAAATGAGTAAAAGTGAAAAAATATCTATATTCGAAATAAAATATTTGCAATGTTTTAATACTCTCACTTATTTTAAAAGAGAGCCTCATTTTGATAATCTAAATTTCGATTTAAATTAAAGTTAATAATTAATTTTAATCACATATTTTATGGAATTCAAATCATGCATTTTATCAATTTTTATCAAAATTTATAAAAAAAAATTGATTTTAATCCCTACCGAACAGAACAATAGTAGATAAAATTTTAATTTATACTTCATTTATCGTATAGCCAAATAGAGTATCAAACTGATCGTCAAATCACAATCGATCTATTTAACAATAGGCTACATGTGGCTAGACCTGGACAATACTCAATAGTCATCTTCAAGATTTGTAGTCGGCCACGTTCTGAGCTTACCTTAAGCCATCGTTTTAAATTCAACTTAAACATTGTAAAATCTTACATTTAGCCTTTGTTTAAAAAATGGTTCTTCGAAAATTACCTTTTTCATATTTATTTTCAATCATACACTAAAAAAATAAAATAAAATTTCAATTATTGAATAATTAATTTCACACGAGATTAAAATTTCAATTTCTTATAGCAACAAACACGCGAGATAGAGGGAGACGTGCAGACAACTATAGAGTATGAATCAAACGTCAAAGCTTGTTTTATGTGCATTTTGACGTTGACATCTTATCTTCTCCTTAAAAAGACAATAATTGTTATTTAGATATGTGATTTTATTCATTATAATTAGTAGACTTTCATTATTTTAAAGCTTCAAATAAATGATTAAAAAATCAATAAAAATATTGAATTTCATAAAATATGTGATCACATTAATATTTGACCTTAATATCATCAAATCAAATATCTAACCTTCCCACATTTGAAAATAGACTAAATAATTAAAAAATCAATAAAAATATTGAATTTCATAAAATATATGAATACATTTATTTGACCTTAATCTTAATGTTGTATCGACTTTCAATTTACTCCGAACAAGCATTAATATTAACTTAAAAGAAGAGCCAAATGGCTAAAATCTTATATCGGTTTAACTACAAATAAAAAATAAAAAATTAGATAATTCTTGACAAAATTGTATCTGAAGATGAATTTTCAAAACTCGATATGATATTAATTTCTAAAAGACTCAAACGGGTATACTTAAATCTCACAAAATTTTAAATACGAAATATAACAATCATTATATAATCGTTTTAATTGCTCCTCTTAATTAAATTGGCCTTCTACGATAAAATTTCCAGACAATTTGAATATTTCTTTAATTCAAAGGGTGAAACAGTGAAAGAGACAAGTACTACTTTATTTTTGGCTAATAGTGAAAAGCTAAAGCTATTATACATACTTTATCAATAGTTTAATACTCTTTAAGGAATAGAAAAATTGAAGCAAAGATTAAAATCAAATCATTCCTACGCTTCAATTATCCATTTACTCTTGTAATCTACGGATTCTACCCATTATTCAATATAAAAATAAAATTTCAAATTTCAATGGAAGAAAGTGAGTTGGACCAATCAATGGACCAATTCCGACTTCCCGAATTGGTCGAACAAGTCTATCTTGTTTGGGTGAGGATTTTCGTTTACTCAGGACTTGGGTCGTCGGCTCCCTTATAATTACGTCATCATTTTTTGACATTTTGACACTGAACAAGCGTCAGCTCCTCACACATGCTAAGAAAATAGATCGAGTAGTCTAATTCTTTATTGAACAAAAAAGGTCTCAATTTGTCATCATTTATAATAAATAAAAAGTAATATAGAATTTCAATATATGCATATATATAATGCACGCATGCAGAGGTCGATCTATGCAAGTTAGTTGCTTCCTCCACAAGATTGATTTCAAGTTTATTTATTTCATTTTAATGATTCGTCATAATTGATTTGCTGATAATAAATACTTTAGTTTTTAATTATATTTTTTTATTTCAACTTTTATAAAGATATGTTTCGCAAATAACACTAAAAAATTGAAGACAATGATATTTAATTTTTGAAAATTATTAATCAAGTTCAATAAGATATAAACATGAAATAAATAGATTAATCTATATATAATTGTAAAGACTAAATAAAAAATAATCCTAAAAATCGTAATAATAGTATCAGTAATGAGACATTTACATATCTTTAATTATCATAATAAATGATAGAATTTAATTATGTTTAGTATGATAAATTGAATAAAATTAAATAAGATAAATTATTACAGACTAGCGACAAGCTTTATCAATTTGTAACGTTCAATTCAGTGAAAAAAAAAGGTAGGAGAGAGAGAGAGATGGTCCATCAGCTCACATTCATTGGAAAAATTATATGATAAAAAATCATCAGATCTCTTCTACCATTTTCTCTAAAGCTGCACTAAGAATCTATAGATTCGCATGATTTTCTTTTGGCTTAATTTTCTTTTAGCTTGAGATTTGTTATTCTAGTTCAGTGAGCTGATATGGCTGGTCCGAAACTCTTGCTTGAATTTGGACCTAATCGATTTCTACTTAACAATGTTGACATTTTATATGGAAGTCGGGTCTTGATATAGACCAACACGCTTACTACAAGCCATGCTAAGGACAAATAGTTGCCAAGGCAAATAATGTAGATTTTCTAAAGATCCTCAATTTTCCAGAAATTTATTTAAGCCGTGGTCAAGTTTCCGTCCAACCGCGCTCCTAAAGACAATAAAGCAACCCTACATTAGTGACACACCAAAGCTCAATCCTTAACTTCGAAATGTTCAAAGCAAAGACCAAAATTCCTTAAGTTGGATTCATTGATCGTTAGGGAAGGGTGTAGAGGGAAATTCGAGGTGGGGATAAAAGGGAAATTTCTCGTTGAAAGTGAGGCTATATAGATGTCACTCAATTTGATTTCACCTATAAAAAATCATTCAACTGAATTAAGACGAACAAACTCTTGCTTCGATGGTCCCACAAATCCTCTACTTAAAAGGACCCTCCCTGCCGGGTGCCCTTACAGTCTTGCATTTCTCATAGCGCGAAAGATCATATATATGTGTACATATATAGTTCACTCAATATGGTGCAAGTTGTTAGCTAAATTGATACAACAGAAGGGCTTCCACTTGAAATATCGTCCTCTCTCAAGGATGTAAATGAGTATCCATGAGATCCTCACAGTGCATAATGGAAAGTATTGCTTTGTCATCTGCCTACATGCATATGAGTGGCAGTAGTGGGCCAACCATCATTCATATTTAGTATGAGAGAAATGAGAAATGCACAATGTGAGACTGAGAAATACAAGTCTACATACCCTACTAGAATAGACTGGACTCGATATTCCTTAATTATGTTCATTACTATCCAGTCAAACATACCAAACATGCAACAAGAGCACAAAGCATTGAAAGCTAATGTTCTGAGTCTGAAAGTATTGACCAGCCACGATTAAAAAAATAAAAAACAAATACCTACTTGGGCTGTCGATGAAATGGAAGCAAAACACGAATTGTAACATATGCAAAATGCAGCCTCCAATCACCCTTTTTCTTGACTTCGTTTTCAAATGATAAAGTTTCTCACTAGCAATGGTTGTGGATACTTCTCTTCAGCAGACGCAATAGGGCAGAGCAGTCAGATACGCACATTCAGATCAAATTGACCCATACGTTCTGTCACCTGTTCTTTTTGATCCTTGAGCCGAAGAAGTTGGTGGACGTTCCCACGATGCTTGATTCACAAAAGGACTATTAGCATCCCCTGATCGTGCATAGTTGTGCCCTCCTCCACTCACCTTCATAGTTTCAGTTTAGAAAGAGAATTTTCACAGTGCATTCCGATAAAGGAGAGTAAAAGAGATGACTGAAAAATGTGAGCCTTCAAATACAATATTCAAAAAGATCAGGAGACTCGAGAGTATGTTTTATGAGTCGAAAAAATAACAGTTCAACCACTTCTTAATCAGCATCTTCGCCTCCGCGTGGCATTAATTCCCAGCTTTGAGGTAAAATTCACACTCAACCAATCCCTCCCAGTAACATCGGTGGAAATTTAACACGTAATGGTGAATGTGGCTCTTATAATCATTATTGCCTAAATGTTCTTTAATTTTTTATCTTTTCTTTCTTTGCTAAATTTTCCCTTGAATTGAGGAGTGGTGCTCCAACAGAGACCCTCCCCCTCCTTTATCAACTAGCTTCAAGAATCCCAAAATCTGAACTGCTAAATGACAGGGAACTCTACTTACAGTTTCAAGACATGCCGATATTATTGACATTCCGGGAAGCGCATCAAGCCCATGCTGCATATAATATTAGATACTTTACAATTTTGCAAAAGACAATTTATATCCATGAGAAAGAAATATATATTAAGAAAAAAAAAAAAGATGAGAAAGAAAGATATATTGAGTAAAAAATTTGAAAAAAAAAAAAAAAAAAAGAAAGAAACTCTTAAGACCAATAACCAGATGCAAATAAAATCTACCCGGCTTTCCATTCGCGTCTTATAAATAAACCCTCCACAGCAGAACAGTGTAAATCCGACAATGAATCTGCTCCATGAGATTCCAGTAAGGAAATAAGCCACGAGTAATAAAATTTAGCGAGGATATATGTAATACTAATGTTTTCTTGCACAAATTGAACATTCTCAACTTGGATGGCAAATAATACCAGAAGCATTTGAACGCTACGCAAAATAATATGTGATGCCAATGAACTAATGATTGGATGCTTGGAACACAAGATAAAAGAATCTAGAGGAATTTGACATACACACAAGATAGGATCCCAAATATAGCCCATCCTCTTGTAGATTCTCCGCCTTCAATTTGCCTGTATTCTGTACAAGTTAACAAATAAATTTCAACATGTTAAGCGATAATGGACTTGTACAAGAGCACTTATCAGAAACACATATCAGGAAGTCAAGGGCTAGTCGATATTATGTGCACAGTTACCATTTAGCTGATAGGAAATTACTAGAGATATATTCTAAGACCTGACTCTTTTTAAAGTATATTTCATGGTAGCAGGTTATAAATTGTAGAATTTGCATTCCACAAAGAGCATTGAATGTTGTCGCAGAATCTTAACTTAAAGTTATTCAAACAGAACCAGGATGGAAAGATGCACAACTACTACTTTATGTGGTTTTCCTAACTTTAAAAAGATGTGATACAACCAAAAGAAAGATTAATGCCCAATCTGGCCCAGATAAGCTACTCCAGAATGACAGTTTCTGCAGTGGAATGTTGTGGCAAGATGTAGATTGTGGGGAGAAAAACAAATGTAAGAATGCATCTTTTCAGATTTAAAATCTGTCTTTGCGTTGTCTTCTCAATACACTGGATCAAGTTAAATTCTAAACTTCCTCGAGCATAAAACAAGATTACATTTGTGTAAAGAAAGAAAAGTATGAAACCAACAAGGAGAGTTTGCCATTGAAATAAATCGCATGAGAGGGTCATTTCTTATCATACATTTCTGCCAATCTTACCATGCCTCCTTAATAAATATTGCGAAAGAAACGATTGGAAAGGCCGTTTTAGCCAAAGAAGCAAGATTGGCGTGAATATGAGTTGTTCCCGGTGCATCCAAGAAGTGTGGAAGATTCAGATATAAAATGTCAGTTTGAATAGTAGACATGCGAGGGACCATCAAGATAGACAAGAAGATCAAATCCAAAACATGAAGAATTGAGCAGGGCTTGCTAAGGAAGGTAGTTGAGAATTGCGATACAACATCTTTTGTTAATTTTAGTCTAAGGTCAAGAAAATCAAATATATAATAAACAAATCAAAATCATAGTTTTGGGCTCAAAGCAATCCCAATATTGCGGTGTTAATTTTTAGTTCCTCGAGTCAAGGGAGGAGAATCTTTTGGCACTACTTCAATCAACCAGGAGCAAATGATGCTCTTTTAGGTGTATAGTTTGGGGGCAAGAGATGAGATATAAAGAGTGGAAGAGAAACCTAACAATGACCAACTGACACTTACCACACTTTTTTGCAAGGGTAAACTGAATTGGATCATAATTTTCTATCGGGATAGTAAATTCAACTTCATAAGGATTATCACGAGCTTTTTCACCTGCAAAGTGAGAAGCAGAAGCTCATAGATAGCAGTAAGAACAGATAACCACTCTCTGTTAAAGGATAAATTTTACTATTAAACATAATTGTTGAAACAATTTACATCTCCAATCCACAAGTATCGTCGTGGGTGATAAAGTTGTTGGCGGGCTGCCATTTGCTCCCGAGCCAGACAATTTTACCTCCAATCCTTTTTCCGGAGAAATCTGGAAGAGATGTTAAAAGAAATACTAGTCATGCAGAACCAAATCAAACAATTATGTGTTTCTAGCTTGTATTAACACAGAGGATTCTAAAAAGTAAGAACCTTGATTGTTGGTTTTCGTACTAAACCAGAAAGCGAAGCAACTGCAGTCATATAAAGAGTTACATGCATTTGCTCAGTTGTGAAACTGCACCACCAATGAGGATAAAGTTGATTAAAACTAATATTGCATAACTTGTAAGCATCAACATAAAGTTAATTTATGTAGTGAAATAGATAGTGATAGATAAGGAATTCATAGGAAAGTGGACAAATATGTTTCGCACCATAAATACAAATTCCTCTCTATAGCACAATAATTGTCCTACACTCCATGTTTCCATCTTGGCAAGTCCAGAAAACAAATATCATCTTATCACCCAACCCACCCACATCCTAAGGAAGAGACATTTTCTTCCATTTTTCAATTAAAGGCGAATTTTAACTTAATAAAATAACTCAGAGTCAGCTTATCAGTTATCACGTGTTCCCTGTTCCAAAAAATTTCTACTCAAACTTCTTTTTTATACTTTAAGTTTATGAGGATGTTCAAGACATTGATTTGATGTGCATAAATGTCCTTGATATGGATGTGACTCCATAAAAGCAATGAAATAAAGTGACAATCTAAGCTGGCCAGAGAGATGGAAGTTTACTGCTGTAAGTAAAGGGGCAAGTAAAAATATAATGACGTGTGGATAAATTACAAGAAGAATGGAATTTTTAAGGTAGCCCTCAAATGATTTTATTAGTTTCTTATGAGCACAAAATTCTCTTAGAAAAATAAATCTTGTACCTGAATTCATTATAAGCCTTGTCATATCCAACTTGAGTCATGCCATTATAAACCTACAAATTTAAGGGATTCCATCAAATCATCGACTATGCACCCACAAGTTGTTAGCAAGGGTAACGAAGGTATTTTACGATTTCCCATGACCGTGGATTGAAACCAACTGTGAAGCCTTCAAATACTCGGAGACCTGGCTTCTCGCATTGCATGGCAAGCTCGACAAGCACTCTAGTAAGAAAGTAGAAACAGTGGCATAATTTACAAAGTTGAACATCTAATCAACTAAATGTTACAGGAGTTCTTCCATTACATCATTAAGAGGCTTCATTATTGTACAGGATAGGAGAGTAGCAGAAAGCCTAACAATAACATGCAAACCTGCATGTGGATTCATATGTTACGTTGCAAATGCATCCACCACCTGAAACAATCAAATAGAAGTAAAATACTGGGAATAGATACTTAAGCAACAAAATATGATACACCCCAAGAAAATAAAACCACAAACAACAAATTTCGCATTAATTAGGTCTGGTGCCGCGTAAAAAACATATTATAAAGTACACTTGCAAAATTATTAAGTTCACCTTCTGAAATATGTAAGAGCTGTGCTTATAAATGGTTTTATATTTCACAAAATGGTTACTATGAGTACAGATATCTGTATTGTGTGTGTGTGAGAGAGAGAGGAATTATTCCAACTTCAGTCTGATAACCACCCACAAAAATGTATCAAACTTATCATTCTGATTGACTGTTTAAGAGGAATAAAACATCGCAAATCCCATATTCCAATGCGCATAAAACAGACAATTAGCCTGTTATGATCAAAATGACAACCATTGGGTATTTGCTAAGCATATATAAATTTAAGCATATATAAATTCGATCCGCATGTAAAATGAAGCCTCACATGTTACCAAATATAGCGGTGAATATGATTTGTTGCTAATTTTCAGGGATTGTATCTTTAATTTATTTAGTTTCCTTTTAGATCAAATAACTGTAAATATATATACAATACACAACACAATGTAAAGGCAAGTTTGTTTGACAGAAATTTCATGCAATTTGTTCGGTCTTTTTGTCATCGTATCAGAGCTAGGGTTCTAAGCTCTTACCCGCTGTGAATCTCGTCTCGTTCGGTGTATTGGGGACCATCGTCGGTGCCTCTCCGGGAGATCTCTGTTTTGGATGTTGGGCGTGTGGGTTCGGTCGCCCTTCTGCGTATTTCAGGTTCGATTGTCTTCTGCGTATTTCCGGTTTCTCTCAAAGTTTCAGCAGGTTTTACCTCCGTTTCTTAGGTGTATTGTGTTGTCTCTGGTCGTTGATTCGTGTAGGTGCCTAGTGCATTTCTTGTAGTCGGACTGTGGTGTTTGATTAATTGCTGTCTGTGGCTCATTTAGTTGTTTCAGTTCCGGCTCGTTATTTTATTTCAATTTCAGCACATGGTTTATTTTTTTTGGTATGGGTTCTTCATTTGGTTGAATATTTTATTCATCATGCCATTTGATAAGTTAGACTCATTTATTATCCGCTTCAATGGAAAAAATTACTCGGCTTGGGAATTCCAATTCCAATTATTTGTGAAAGGAAAAGAGTTGTGGGGACATCTTGATGGTAGTGATCCCGCTCCTAAAGATGTTGAGGCTTTGTCGAAGTGGGAAATTAAGGATGCTCAAGTTATGACTTGGATCCTTAGTTCAGTCGAACCGCACCTTATTCTCAATCTGAGACCTTACCAAACTGCTGCTGCTATGTGGGATTACATTAGTAAGGTTTACAAACAAGACAACACAGCTCGACAATTTCAATTGGAGTATGAGATGGCTAATTTTACACAAGGAAGTCTTTCGATTGAAGAATACTTTTTAGGTTTCAAAATCTTTGGACTGAATATTCAGATATAGTTTATGCTAATGTTACCGCGGTAGCCCTATCTGCTGTTCAAACTGTGCATGAGACAAGCAAGAGGGATCAATTCTTGATAAAGCTACGTCTCGAATTTGAGGCTGCAAGGTCTAATATGATGAATCGTCAACCTGTACCATCTCTAGATACTTGCTTGGGTGAACTTCGTGCGGAGCAACGTCTAGTTACTCAAGTTGCCATGAAGCATAGGGATACTATCAGTGCTCCTGTGGCTTATGCAGCACACTGCACAAGGAAGGAATAAGTGTCGTGACATGCATGTTGTCCAGTGCTATAATTGTAAAGCCTTTGGTCACATTTCTCGGGATTGTCCTAAGAAATACTGTAACTATTGCAAGAAACAAGGTCATCACATCTCTGTTTGTCCCATTCGGCCTCATAAAACTTCATCTAAACCATGGTTCTTTGACTCTGGAGCTTCTAATCATATGACCAACACCGTTATTCCTCTTTCCAATGTGAAAGAATACGATGGGAATCTAAAAATTCATACTGCTAATGGTAGTTCTCTGCCTATCAAAGTTGTTGGTGATCTTTTAGATTCCTTAACTAATTTTTTTGTATCTCCCAATCTTTCTACAAATTTAATTTCGGTTGGTCAATTAGTTGATAGTAATTATAATGTTCATTTCTCTCATTCTGGTTGTGTTGTGCAGGATCCGATGTCGAGGAAGATGATCGCGAAGGGCCTAAAGTGGGATAACTCTTTCCCTTGCATATTTCTCCTTTTCCTAGTTCTCCTTTACTTTCATTTGCATGTAATACTATTAGTACTGATAATAAATTGTGGCACAAACATTTAAGCCATCCAAACTCAGATGTACTTCGCACTTTATTTAATTCTAATTTATTAGGTAATAAAACATGTTCGTCTGAACTTTCTTTTGATTGCAATGCATGCAAACTTGGCAAAAGTAAAACTCTACCTTTTCCCTCTCATGGATCTCGTGCCTTACAATGTTTTGATATTATTCATAGTGATGTTTGGGGGATTTCACCTATTATTTCTCGTGCACGTTATAAGTACTTTGTTACATTTATTGATGACTTTAATCGTTTTACTTGGGTTTATTTTTTAAGAGCCAAATCAAAAGTCTTTTCAGTCTTTAAGCGTTTCCTGGCTCTTGTTGAGACTCAATTTTCTAGCCTCGTTAAGATCTTACAATCTAATTCTAAGGGGGAATATATATCCAATGAGTTTCAAAATTTTCTCCAAAGTAAGGGTATCATCTCTCAGCATTCTTGTCCTTCGACACCACAGCAAAACGGTGTTGCTGAAAGAAAGATTTGTCATCTCCTGGATATGATAAGAACACTCTTACTTGAATCATCGGTACCTTCTCGATTCTGATGTGAAGCACTTTCCACTTTGGTTCATTTAATTAATCGTTTGCCATCTCCTATTTTAAATCATGTTTCTCCATTCTTTAAGCTGTTTGGATATTCACCTTCCTATTCTGATCTGCGTACATTTGGTTGTGTTTGTTTTATACATCTTCCTGCTCATGAGCGACATAAACTTACTGCTCAGTCTGTTAAATGTGCTTTCCTTGGTTATGCTGTCTCTCAAAAAGGTTATATTTACTATGATTCTCATGCTAAACATATCCGCATTTCTAGGAATGTGGTTTTCTTTGAAAACCAATATTTTTTTCCGTCTCATTCTAAGCTACCCCCTACACCTTCATCTATCCTACCTAGCTTCTCTGATTCCCCAGATGTTATAGCACGATTTAAGCCAGGACTTGTGTATGAACGACGTAATCGTGGGTCTGATCCTCCTGCTGATATGCCCCGTCCTGATCTCGAACAGGCACCTGATCCTCCTACGGTTCCCATCTGTTTTCGTCGGTCTACTCGTCATTCTCGCTCACCCGATCGGTACGGTTTCTCACCTCCTGTTTCTCTTGTAGCTACTTTATCTGCTATTTCCATTCCCACTTGTTACAAACAGGCCATGGAACATGAGTGTTGGCAAAAGGCAATGCAAGCAGAACTTCAGGCCCTTGAGGAGAATCACACTTGGGACATTGTGCCTTGTCCTCCTACTGTGAAACCTATTGGGAGCAAATGGGTTTTCTATGTGAAACTTCATTCTGACAGCTCCTTGGATCGGTACAAAGCTCGTCTTGTAGCTCTGGGTAACAGACAGGAATATGGAGTTGACTATGAGGAGACACTTTCTCCCGTCGCCAAAATGACCACAATCAGGACGATCCTAACTATTGCTGCCTCAAACTCATGGAACCTATATCAGTTGGATGTGAAGAATGCCTTTCTTCATGGCGATCTTCACGAAGAGATTTTTATGAAGCTCCCTTTTGGTACGACTACTTCATCTCCTCATGATGTTTGTAGACTACGACGTTCTTTGTATGGACTCAAGCAGGCTCCCCGAGCTTGGTTTGAGAAGTTTCATAGCACACTCATTACCTTTAGTTTTGCACAGAGTCAATACGATTCTTCTCCCTTCTTCCACAAGTCTACCTCTGATATTGTATTCTCTTGGTTTACGTGGATGATATTATTATTACTGGCCCTGACTGTGATTTTATTTCAAAAGATCTCGGCCAACTCACATACTTCTTAGGACTCGAAGTTCGTCATCAGCCCAATGGTATTTTCTTAAACCAACATAAGTATATTCAGGATCTTATTGCGTTAGCTGGGTTGGAGAAGTCTTCTTTTATAGACTCGAAGTTCGTCATCAGCCCTATATTCAGGATCTTATTGCGTTAGCTGGGTTGGAGAAGTCTTCTTCTATGGATACTCTTATGGAAGTCAATGTAAAGTATCGGAAAGATGAAGGGGATCTTTTAGACGATCCTAATTTATATCGTCGCCTCGTTGGGAGTCTCATCTATTTGACTACCACTCGCCCAGATATCTCTTATGTCGTTCATCAGGTCAACCAGTTTATGTCTTCACCTCGACATCTTCATCTTGCGGCCGTTCGTCGTATTATTCGCTATATTCGTGGATCATCCACTCGTGGGTTATTTTTTCCTAAAGGGTCGTCTCTTCAGCTTTCTGCCTACAATGATGCTGATTGGGCTGGGTGTCTGGATACGCGTCGTTCTACTACGGGTTGGTGTATGTTTTTGGGTGATGCATTAATCTCTTGGAAATGTAAGAAACAGGATCGCGTCTCTAAATCATCTACTGAGGCTGAGCATCGTGCTATGTCTACAGCTTGTTCTAAGATTATTTGGTTACGAGGTCTTCTGGAGGAGCTTAGGTTTTCTCAAGATAATCCTACTCCTCTTCATGCGAACAACACTAGTGCTATTCAGATTGCAAATAATCCCATATTTCATGAGCGTACGAAGCACATTGAAGTTGATTGTCATTTTATTCGTGATACTTTGATGGATAGGGTGATATCTCTTCCCTACATTTCTTCTGATCTCCAAGTGGCAGATGTATTCACCAAAACATTGACTCGACTACGGTATCATTTCCTTGTTGGCAAATTGTTGTTGGTTGACCTCCCAGCATCAATTTGAGGGAAGTGTTGCCATATCTACCAACGAGTATTTGGGATATTTGGGAGAATGATTTGTTGCTAATTTTCAGGGATTGTATCTTTAATTTATTTAGTTTCCTTTTAGATCAAATAACTGTAAATATATATACAATACACAACACAATGTAAAGGCAAGTTTGTTTGACAGAAATTTCACGCAATTTGTTTGGTCTTTTTGTCATCACATACCTTTACATTGCCCATTCGAACAATCTCCACAAATGATATTAACCTGAAAACTCAGAAAGAAATTAGTTTAATCCGACATATTATTACTAACATGTGTGCATATTTATTTTTCACTTTTTTCCACAATTTAGAGTTTTAATCATATGGTATATGGAACATGATAATGTGATCAAGCGTACAAAGTTCTGAATCAATTCTTCAATGTCACTTTTCTAAAATGGTTTCAGAATTGAGACTAAAAGAAAGAAAAACGAGTACCCACAAGACTAAGAAGTTGCAAAGAAAATGGGCATCGTACAACTTACCTGAGATGTTCGTCCCAATTTATCAAAACTTTCCTCGCATTTCACCAGGTCACCATTGTAGTACTCCTAGATGTGTAAAAAAGTATGCAAATTAATGTTAGGTTGTTCACGTCATATAACAAGCTTTGCTGGTAAACCGACTATTACTTTTATAACACCTTAAGCAATAAGGTTAAATAAATTTTCTCATCATCCCAGTGCCATTGTTAATGCCGGAAACTCAAACTCTCCAGCCTTGGGGAGGATTCAGTACTGCCCCATAACTTTGAATGGGACAGCTTTTAAGAAGACTACCATAGCATTTATTTCAGAATATTAAAAAATGAGTTTTTGAAAAAAGAGATATTAAAGTTTTCAGATTATTGCTTGTAGACAAGAAAACTAATAACATTCCACAGGTGTGATTATTTACTTATTCTTTGGCAAATTTACACGACCAGACCGCCAATCCAAGAATAGATCAACTAGGATTCCAAAAAAGCATAAAGAGGCAACTTTCATGTTCAGACAAACTAACTTTAAATGCAAAACATCAGATAATTAATAGATGAACCACAAGATTTGTGTATTTCACACAGCAACATTGAGATACAGGTTGTTCATGTGATAAAGAAAACGGAAATTCACTTTCTTCATTTTCTATTTTTCTGGTCTTCATTTTTTTTGACGAGTAAACTGCACTTTCCAATGTTCTAATTAAGAATAATCACATATTCTGAAGATGTTAGTACACAATATACATGAGAGGGAACCGTTTATACCTTGGCTCTTTGGCTTTGGTACCTTTGGTGGGATAAAGTTGGGTCAAGCGCTCAGTTAACTTGTTCGGTTCTTGGGTACAATTGAATGAGCTTACTGTAGTGGTGAGCATTAAAATGTATATGTATTCAAGATTCTATTCCTGGTGATACAGTTGCAGAAATACTTTCCAAACCTATATCTATATTGATGAAACTCTGCATTGAATGATTTGGACCCTGAATGGCGATTAGAATCTTTTATGTTCAAGGTGCTATTCCAGGTGATATAGTTGCAGAAGAATCTTTCGGTCAAACCTACATTTTTAAGTGTCATTGTTCATGTTCTTCAATTTAAGCTCCCTTGGATGATATTTAACATATTTTGGATTCATTATGGCTATAGAAATTGCATCTATAATCATGCTCTTATTTCACATGGCAATTTGGGAAATGGTAACCAGCTGGACATTTTTCTTTTTCTCTTACTATGGTTTCACCTTGGGGACGCTTTACTCATCTGATATCTCTTCATGGTAGCCCATTGACCTGGTGGATTTTATCGTTTAAGAATCCATCATTAATTTTGTTTTGCAAGTGCTTGAATCTGTGATTAGTCGGCACTGTGTGAATGCATAACAGAACTAGATATGACTATAATTCTTCCACTACGTCTCAGCCTGAACATCCATTGTAGGATCTTGTTTCGGATGACAAAAGTAATGTGTTTGGCAAGTCACTCGAAGTATTGCTCACTGAATGAATATATAGCTGTACAAATACAAGATGCTAAGTGGCTCCAGGAAACTAGTAACATAGGCTAATACAGTTGAAACTGTACAAGATAACTAGTAACCTACTCTAATACAATTGGAACTATACAACATAATAATCTAATACAATTAGGACTGCACAAGATAACTAGTAACCTAGTTGTATTTTCTAATACAATTGGCATTACTTAAAATTTACTTACTCTTGATTTACAGTTACAGCACAAAATTGTTCACTCAAGCTGAGGGTTTTTTTATTATCTGGTATACATTGTTTTTGCCAATTATGTGGATTTCCTTGAATTTGTGATCTCTTTTCCAGCATATAGTTAGAGAAATGAACACCCAGCCAAATTTCACGTATTGGTGCTACAGATCATATTAACAGAATTTATAATTCACAATCTGAGTTGGTCAATTTTCCAACAAAGAGAAAAGATGATGAATCAATGTTAATAATGCATTTCAAAGTGTGAATGCAGGGAAAGTCAATTCTCAAATCTTTTTTTAATGTCTATGAAATCTCACACTGAATTTATATATAAAGAGCTCAATTGTTCAATGTTAGGCCTTCATCACCAGTTAATCATTTTGGCCAGCATCTCTCGTAGGAATAATTAGCATATGCTACACTTACATTACTTAATCGTGCTGACAACAAAAGAGTCCATTTGTTGGCTTTTATCTCTTAACCAAATTTTCACAAAAAGAGAAATTTTTCTATCCCCTCCGATCTCCTGAGATCACATTTTTCCCTGGCAACCATAGTGACCAGTAGAGAGAGTGGGATGGATGAAGATAATAAGAAGATGCATTCACATACAAAGAGAAACATTTTTCAATGGAATGTGAACAATGTGATAGAAGGCTCATAATTATCTAGAAGCTTGTAAGGAAATCTCATATATCTAGAAGTTTGTAAGGAAGTCTCATATACCTTGCCTAAACCATATATGTGTCAATTATAACCTGCTTTAGCTTACATAGATAACTTTGATAATTTAAAATAGGCTATCAGACTTACTTGAACAAAGTTGGCACGTCCAGAACTGGCGGCAAAATAATTGAACCTATCAAATCTTCCAAAATCGACGTAGCCCTATCAGTCCACAATCACATGAAAAACAATTTGCATCACGACATATCGATGTGAACACCAATAAATTTGACAAGCTCAGAAACTGGAGGTATGTAAATACATAACCAAGCACATCCAATTAAAGCTAAAATGTTACTAAGAATTGGATTCGTGGGTTTGCTCGAAGAGTTTCAAGTATGAGTCTCCATCACCTGGTTCATGAAATTAAAATGTGATTTTTTGCTAACAATCACTGCCTTTTCTTTTGTTCCTATGTTAAGTACAAAGAATCTTTTAAATGGCCTGCATTATTCCAGCTCTCTCAATTCGATCACTATCATAATATATTGTCTTCTGTTTTTACTGTTATCGTTGCTCAAGATGGAGAATCTTTGTTATTTGTGCTACAGACTCACCTAAATATCTTGCTTATTTGTGTATGAGTAGAATAAAACACGAGTCAGGTCTAATGGCAGGGAAATAGATCAAAGTAAAAAATCTTTATTTTAATATGTTCTTATTTGTGTAGTTGTCTTAAAACAATATCTGACTGCCAATTTCCATCACAACTTATATCGGCCATATACAAAGGCCACAAAGTCACAACGTAGGTATTTGGGGTTTGAATGGGTACGCTATTCATAATCATGATGACGCAATTACAAGATCGTATTGAAGATTTCTCCTGTCATTCAAACAGATCACCCATTTGACAGTCTTTTGTAAGGAAACAACAAGACAAACATTGAGCATAATCAGAAAATACTAGTCTTAGATATGCGAGATCACCTGGTTTTGCTTTGTACGAGCTACCAACTCCTTGACACTATTAAATTTGCTATAAAAATGAGTCTACAGAGGCAGCATATTATGTATCCTATTTGATCCAAAATTCTATTGTAAGGTCGGTTACATTACTGAGCAGTAATTCCAGGGCATATAAGAATGTATTGCTCTTCCACAATCCAAAATTGAAGGGAAACAATCTTCATAGACACATGTGAAAAATAAACTGATAAGAAAACCATGGGCTAAGTTACCATCTGCGATCTAGCCTCCACATCTTTACAAAATCGTAGTGCCAAATCAGCGCTCTGCACAAGTATAGAGATAGAAAACTAGGCCTTAACACAGTTATCTAGGAGCATTATATCTGACCTATACCTGAAACTCCAAAAAGTTCTAATGCTTGATTTTCATACGCAACATTACCTGATCTCCCTCGTACTCGAAATGATGTCCAATCCAGCTACTCTGAGCAAAGACTTGAGATAAAACAAGTTCAAAACTTAAATTCTACTGAATTACTTCAACATGTAGGATTTTTATTCCTCAAACCACAGGAAAAATGCAAATAACAGTGCCATTATTTCTAGATAAGATTCCAAGATCACATACAATATTATTAATCAAGAAACTATTCTCGTGCCAATTTGAAAGATAAAGCTCACCCACCAAAAACCTCATCTTTGACAGGAGTTAGGTAACATTAACAAGATATCAACTCTATGTTAACGTAACTACTTGATGGCCTTATTCCCCTAATTATTATTATTATTATTATTATTATTATTATTATTATTTGAAAAAGATGCTTAAAAATGCAACATTGCATCATAAAGGATACAAAATCATGAATATAGCTGGAATTGTCAAGAACGTAACAACTGGTACTCGGCACAACAACTGAAGCAGCTCCAAGGGCTTGAAAAATAACAGCTGAAATTTATATAAACAAATTTAAGATTCGGATTAATCGAATCCCTAAACAAAATAAATACTAAATGGTTGTAAATAAAGCTCGTTCAGAAGTGAAGTGACTTTTACCTGCAACAGTAGTAATTAAAAAACCACGCATAGGAATAGCATCTACCGGAGATCTCATACTCAAAATCAGCATTTCCTCATTTACACCTAACAACGAAAACGCAAATCTAAGCCCCTCGTTCGCTGGTGGCCTTTAGTTGTAAAAAACTATATCTTGAATAGTAATTTTTGGATAAGTGTGGGTTAAAAGTGTAGAAAATCTAAGTATAGAAAATTTTATCGTGGAAAAATTAGAGTACATCAAACAACGGCTAAATTCAACGGTTGAAATTTCTTAGAGATAGGGAATATCAAAATTGCCCTTGCTACAGGCAGTGACGAGGACAAGGAAGGGAATCAAGGGATTGATATTAGGCCCCATAGTTTACTTTCATTTAAAATAAGATTTTGTAACTGTGATTTTATTTTTATTTTTATTTTTTAAATGGGGATTAAAAAGTATGAAAATATTTAGGTTTATATGTAAATTATTGGAAAAATTGTAGCAACGATTCCTAACTTTTTTATTTTTTGCAAATTTTATCATAATCTTCAATTTGTGTTAGAGAAAATCTTGAACTTTTTAAAATATGCATCTGGAGTCCGAATGGTGGATTCCGTCCATTTGACCAAGGAAGTCAAAATTAATTTTTGACCAAATTAAAAGGACAAAATAGTAAGTTAGCATTTTTCTTACATTTAAATAAAATAAAAATAATCATCTTCTACCCTTACCCTATCCCCAAACCCCACGCCTACCCCTACCCCAAAATGAGAACCTTGCAACCCTTCGCCACCCCATAGCCGATCGTCGCCGCCACCACATCCACATCAACCACCAATAACTCAATCAAAGCCAAAAACTCATCCAGCAACTAGTGGCACCACCAACCTAAACTGTCACCAAAACCAAACCCAATACTAAAACAAATAGAGCCACCTGCCATCGCCACCGCCACATTTGCATCGAGCCATTTGCAATGTTTGGAGTTGGAGCATCTAAAAATCTTACATTTTCACATCATCGTCAACTCAACAACTTGCGGTCTAGTTCAAAAAATCCTTTTTTCATAACCTAAAATATTAACAGATTGATAAAGAGAAAACAATACAAACTAGGTCCCAACCATTCCCGATTCTCAAAATTTATCAAGTTTTTCACAACCCATTTGGTTATGATAAAACCAAGTCAATACCCACAAATTATCTCTCTCTAATTAGCAATAAATTCTCTAGTTTTAGGTCCGTCTTCCCCACATTATCTAGTTGAATCGCCAAAATATCATGCTGATGTTGGAATTAAGACTCGAAATCTTCGATTTCCAGTCCAAATTCAAAAAGAAATGAAGCTTTGACCGACACTAATGGGGTGGGACGAGAGAGCTTTGGCTGGCGGTGCCACTGCCTTTCTGTTTGATTTTGGAGTACGGGGTTTAGGGGTTCTGGATTTGGTTTTTTGTTTTTCGATTTTATTATTGTTAAATGATTTAACTAATCTAAATGTAAGAAAAATGCAAACTTACCATTTTATCCTTTTTAATTTGGTCAAAAATCATTTAATTTTTACTGCCTTAGTCAACTAACGGTCAAATTGATGGAATCCATCCATTCAGACTCCAGATATATATTTCTGAAAGGTTAGGGACTTCTATTGACACAAATTGAAAATTAGGGTAAAGTCTGAAAAAAATGAAAAGGTTAGGGACCACTTCTGCGATAAGGGTTTTTTTTAACCCCATTTTCGAGAGAGTATATTTTGTAATAATGTTTTTTTTTAAAGAATGTGTGAGTAAATGATGAGTGATTTATACTCATTATATTATGCCATTAATTTCATGTTTTTGCTATCTTAGAGAGTATTTTAGAATTGCTAACAAGTGATTTTGGTGTTATTTTGTAGATTGATGGAAGTGGAGAAAACAAGAGGTCAAAGGAAGGAAATAGGCAAAAGTTAGCGAAATTGGATGAAATGACCAAAATGTAAGAAATCCAAAGTTCGAGAATTAAAATGCAATTAATCAAAAGTCGTGTCAAAACTCACGATGAAGATCTGATAGTGCTAGGAGTCAATTGGATGAAGGAAGGTGTCAAAAGGATCAAATTTAGTCAAAATATGATCACAAATCATTTTCCAACCGAAAAGTTACGCACCGAAGTTTTGGTCTCACATTGAGACCTATTTCTGACATAGTAAACGATCAAATTGGAAAATGATGTTTGAAGAAAAGTTATAGCCCTTTGAGTTACCTTTCCAACGCACCTTGAATAATCTCAATCGGACATCAGATGAAAAAGTTATGATAAAAAAATTGAAAGAGGCGAAAATTGTCTTTTCCACCCGAAGTGGGCACCACGGCGCCCAAGCACCCATCTTGGGTGCCGTAGCGCCGCCTGTGCGGAAAAATGGGATTTTATATTTTTGGAATCTTTTCTTGGCCCAACTCGACCATAATTCATCCAATAACCCCAACATACTATAAATACCATTTAAAAACCCATTTTCAAGAGGGATGGAAGGGGACAAGATTGAAGAATTTAACCACACAATTCGAAGGAGGCAAAAAAATTGAAGGCATCAAAAGGAAGGAGGAACAACATCAAGGAAGAAGATTGAAGATCTACCCAAAAGACTAATTTTTTCTATCATTTTCCTTATGTTGTTTATTATAATTTGTATGATTTTCATTTATTATATCATGAACTAAACAAATTATCTAGGGGTTTGATGTAGCCGAATCGAGTATGGTTTGATGATTTTATAATTATTTTTTTGATTTTTCCACATATATTTAATTGTGTCATGATTTTAATACTTTCAATTATTTGATCAATAATTAAATAAATAGATGCTAGTCAATTTCGGCACTCGAGAAAGGGAAATTTAGGCGTAATCATAAGATTGACACAGCATAGGTTTTATGGGTTTCGAGAGAAAGTGTAAAATCTGTGAAACTTACTCCATAAAAGAATCGGAACTTTTATAAATTCTTAATTTTCAATTCGGAAGTTGTATGATTAAATGGATTTAATGTTTTATGAGTGAATAAATTAAACTAATCTAACGTGAATTGGATGCGACAAAATTAAGGAATACAAATTATCAAATGAGAAGGCCTAGGGATTGATTTCACCTAACTTTCAATTATGATTTAACGATTTCCAATAAGTCCATTTTATTTTCCCATATTTAAAAGCAAGAATCCTAATATATTCCTCTTCTCTCTCGAGTGCCGACTAGAAAATAATCCTAGATTCCAATTCCAATATTTCTATTCCGAATTGAAAATTAAGAATTTATAAAAGTCCCGATTCTTTTATGGAGTAAGTTTCACAGATTTTACACTTTCTCTCGAAACCCATAAAACCTATGTTGTGTCAATCTTATGATCACGCCTAAATTTTCCTCTCTCGAGTGCCGGAATTGACTAGCATCTATTCATTCAATTATTGATCAAGTAATTAAAAGCATTAAAATCATAACACAATTAAATATATGTGGAAAAATTAAATAAATAATTATAAAATCATCAAACCATACTTGATTCGACAACATCAAACCCCTGGATAATTTGTTTAGTTCATGATATAATAAATGAAAATCATACAAATTATAATAAACAACATAAGGAAAAGGATAAAAAAAACTAGTCTTTTGGTAGATCTTCAATCTTCTTCCTTGATGTTTTTCCTCCTTCCTTTTGATGTCTTTAATTTTTTTGCCTCCTTAAATTGTGTGGTTGAATTCTTCAATTTTGCCCCCTTCCATCCTCCTTGAAAATAGGGTTTTTAAATGGTATTTATAGTATGTTGGGATTATTGGACGAATTAGGATCGAGTTGGGCCAAGAAAAGATTTCAAAAATATAAAATCTCGTTTTTCCGCACAGGCGACGCCACGGGGCCACGTTCATTGTTGTTTTCAGCATCTTGGGCGCCATGGCGCCCACTTCGGGTGGAAAAGGCAATTTTCACCTCCTTCAGTATTTTTGTTCTAACTTCTTCATCCGATATCTGATTGAGATTATTCAAGATGCGTTGGAAATGTAACTCAAAGGGCTATAACTTTTCTTCAAACATCATTTCCCAATTTGATCGTTTGCTATGTCAAAAATAGGTCTCAATGTGAGACCAAAACTCCGGCGCGTAACTTTTCAGTTGGAAAATGATTTGTGATCATATTTTGACTAAATTTGATCCCTTTGACACCTTCCTTCATCCCATTGACTCCTAGCGCTCTCGGATCTTCATCGTGAGTTTCAACACGACTTTTGATTAATTGCATTTTAATCCTCGAACTTTGGATCTCTTACATTTTGGTTATTTCATCCAATTTCGCTAACTTTTGCCTATTTCCTTCCTTTGGCCTCTTTTAGCTCTTGTTTTCTCCACTTCCATCAATCTACAAAACAACACCAAAATCACTTGTTAGCACTTCTAAAATACTTTCCAAGATAGCAAAATCATGAAATTAATGGCATAATATAAAGAGTATAAATCACTCATCAGTAAAAGATTATAAGTTTTTTTTGAATATATGTGTAAAATTATTTTATTAGGAAGGTGTGTGGTCAAATATGAGTTTGACAGAAAAAAATGATACTTTTCAAGAATGAGGCTCAAAAAAATCACAACTCGGATCTTAAGTTTATACCAGTTCAATCTTAAGCTAACAAGTTTACATTGTCAAAACTAAGTGGTAACTAAATTCTATTAACTAAATAAAAATTTATGTCAAAAAAATAGTACCAATCTCTCTCCGGTCCGAGCCATAGTCACCAACATCCACTCGTCACCATCCCTTCTTATAGTCGTCGGCATCTACCCATTCACATTCACTCCCATAGTCACTGGTATCCAAACAATTTCACCAAAGAAAGAATAAAATCTACAGAGATCGATGACGATTGAGCATCTTTTTTAACAGTAAACTGATCGCCACTCAACTACGACTAAGTACCGTCGACTTAGGTAGTAGAGAGAGGGAGAAACATAATAGTCATTGAATAACATCGACTAAGTATCGTCGACAACTGATCATCTTCCTCCGTGGTGATTGTGTAGTGCTAGTGTAATTTAAATCTATTTTTGAAACTAAAAATTGAAATACAGCCTACGGTGTAATTTACAAAATACTAACCGGATCAAATAACTTCAATTTTCACCGTTGAAATATGGTTAATTGAAAACTTCAAAGAAATCAATGACATGTGACAAGTTCTCTTGAATTTA